AGGTGGCTAGCTCTTCTCTGCTTCTTAGATATAACCTGACAATAGTTCAGGAAGTAAGAGGGTGGCCATTACTCTTTCAAACACACTAGATCCAAGTTGAGGGAACAAATCATATTTGCCCATCTGTGGCATGCACAGCCTGTGCTAATAGGTAGAACATGAAAATCTGTGAGGTGTCAAGCTTCAGCACTTTCGTCCCAAGCTCACCTGAGTTGATGGCTGATTCAGGATAGGCAATCTCTCCTCAATCCTGTCTAGCCCCTTACAGGCATAGGTATTGGCAACCGCAACTACAAGAATCACAAATGGGAAAATGTTCATTTAACAGTGTAGGTACAGAATAAACACACATTACTATATCTTATACTTTCTGCCTTATTTAAGTGATAAAAAAGGGAAAAAATTAGCTTTTTTTTTTTTAATTTTTTTTTTTTTTAAGACTAGTCAAGTGCAGTAGTGGGGGGGGAAGTAGTAGAATAAGGAGTTCAATCTGTAACTGACTGTGGAAAACAATTAGCTTTTTACACTAATAAATTCAATCTTTTTTTCTCCCAAGTCACTCTATTTCCTCAAACTCGGTGAGAGTAAATTATTCATAGAACTAGGTTATCTTGTGAGAATAATATATTTCTCCTTCTTACAGCACAGGTGGAATATGCAAAGGCACAAATGCCCTCTGGTATAATCCAGTCATGCTCCTGGAAAGGACTCACAGGATAGTATAAATTGACATATGTAGTGTCCCAGTGCTGTGAAATAGGCAAGAGAAGAATTTTCTTTTTATTCCTACAGCTATAGGAAGAAATTCTACATGTTGTTATGGCATGCCATGGGAGATATATGGACTTCTTACAGTGACTTTCTAGGGGTTGCTACCATGTCACATTAGAGACTACAGAACATGGTAGAAAGACCATTAGAATGAGGGCCAAATAAAGCTATGGCATTTATGATCTGGTCTAAATAACTACAACTGCCTCCAAGTATTAAGTTTTGTTACTTATGAAATGAAAAAACTACCTGATGGCCATATGTATTAGATATATAATAATGTATATATGCTAGTTTAGGATAAGTAAGATTTGGCTAGGAAGTCCATTTGGAACTACATACAGGGACTTGTTATAAAGGGTTTCCAACCAAGACAAGCTTGAACTCCCAGTCCTATAAACAGTGGTTATATTAATAATTACACTAGAAATAAGTAACCCCATTGAATCTGCTGGGTTTTTTTG